AAGGTTTTGTATCAAAAAGCAACGTGTGTTACAACGTTATTGGCAAGATCCAATCACAAAGGAAAGGGAGGTGGGTTATACAATCGAATACAGCCTTTGTTCATGACACAATGAAACAACCAGACCTTTCCTTCTCTTTTCCCTTTAATCACAGCCGTTACAAGTGGATCGGGTTTGCCATACCATAAAATTCCTTCTTATAGTATAACAATGCATCAAGTACCCACACAACGAGTCCAACCAGAAAGTTTCTATCCTTGTATTATGTAAAGGTGGATAGATGGATGTGAGGTGGTACTTATGCATGGCGTGTCAAAGCATGAAGTGGATGATGATGGTTGTACATGGTTGATAGGTTGCACAAAGGATGATATGCAAGCTGCCATGAAATAGCATATAAAGAAGGATGCACAATGATGGCATCAAGGTCAAGTTGACAATGGATGCCCTCTTTTTCAACGCGTTATCCAATCCCTTTCCATCCCTTCCACCAAACCAATATCCATATCCATAAGAAATCGTATGTATTCAAACAAGTTGCTACGCGTAAATAAAGCTGCTTCTATACAATGGCTATCTGTTGGTCACGTAAAGAAAGGCTACAAGGCAGGCTGCTGCAAGTAAAGAACGCCGTTGAGACATGGCAAGGCATTGCCATTACAACTGCTGAATGAACGTCGTTACGATTGTTTGTGGCCGAGGCGGGGTGCACAAGGGAAGGTGTGGTGTCAAGAAACGCGTGTGTTGTTGTAGTGGGTGCATACGCCAATGGGCTATTGTCGATAGTATACAGTATCATCTTTCCATCCTTCCAGTCATGCAAGGTAGCTGAGTTACACACAGTGTTCCCTCTGCATCTTTTGCTCTATTGTAATCATACTACTTTACATTAAACAAAGACCACTTCTCATATAGCATCACGCTTACAACATAGTAAAAACATAAAGGTGCCTGTATCTCTAAACTTTACAATCAAACGTGGGGTTTTTATTAGAGCAACGGGCTCGGCTTGGCCAACTGCACCTTGGGTGCAAGTTTCAAGTTCATCGTGGCTAATCCCAGATTCCGCAATGTCGCCACCCTCAGCCAAACTGGATCTTGGGGGTCAACCTTCTTTTCGACGACGACCAAAAAAATATTTTTTTGGGCTAGCTGCGACATTGAACGCGAAACTTTCACACAAGGTGCTGTTGGCCGCCGAGCCCATTGCCTCTAATAAAAACCCCACGTTTGATTGTAAAGTTTGTAGATACAGGCACCTTTATGTTTGTAAGCGTGATGCTATATGAGAAGTGGTCTTTGTT